TAATTCCACCACATGACCTTACACCCCAAGTACGTATTTCCATTCCTGTATATGACAATGGAACTGGTGATGCTTGATTTAATTTGGCTGTCATTATTATCACTTGGGCCAGACAAACTGAGTATTAAAAGTGATTTTTTTTGGTCAGACATTTGTTTTCTGTGTGCAATGAGCCTATAACTATAATGTATAATCTACAGAGGCGTAGTGAGGGGGGCAGGGGGAGACAGATGTCCCCGGGCGCCAGCTAGTTAGGGGCGCCAAAATGTGCTTTGATATTATTTTATTGATAAAAATAATGGGTTTGAGAGTTAAAAAAAAGAAAAAGGGGCGCTTTAAAATGGATCTTGTCCCCGGGCGCCAAACACCCTCACTACGCCTCTGATAATCTATAAGGGCATTCAAACACATTCCAATAAATAAACGATCCCGTTAAGATCGGCTGCAAAGCAACAGCTTACTTTCTACTGGCACTGGGCAAGGATTTCTTAAATACGTGTCACCAAAGGTCAAAAGAAATGCTTTTGTTCCAATAAAAGGGGAATTAAACGTGTGGGTTAAGAGACATTTTGTGACATGTAACAAAATAGTCTGCAATATCTCTCCCTCTCATCCCCTCTCTTGCTTTCTCACCCTTATTTCATTAAAATTTATAAAGCAATGTTATTTTAACACCATTTACATTTTGTTTATTAAAGATTTTTTTGTTGCTAAAAATATAATGGCGAAAAAGATAGGACTATATATGTGCAAATGGGATCCTCCAATGATATAAAGCAGGTTATGAAAAAGATTTTTAAAAACCAAATGAAATCAATAATTAAAAAACATTTAAAAATGAAAATAAAACGCAACTCTTAGGAATGGTAGCTCGTCTGGTGAGGGACACAATTTAATTTTGAAAAAAGTGACCCTTTCAGCATTAATTGCAATACATTTAGAATCTTAAATTATAATAGGAATGTTAAAATAAAGCTATCTCAATAAAGTGTTTCTTTATTTATGCATAAAGGTCTCCGCCATTTACTACTTTCTTTATTCACCAGGTAATTTGAATCAATAGATGATGTGAACCTGAAAATCATTGTAATCTGTTGCAAAATACGAAATGTCCTTTAAAGAATTTTCTAAGTTCAAAGTTTCATCTGTTGTTCTGTATCATCAAAGATAAATCACAATCATAAACATGTGCATTAACAATAATATGACACATCTACTAATCTTCCTGCAGCTTGAAACGTTTTATTTATATTTTAAAGATCATATTTATTTTGTCTCAAATTATTGATATGATGCACATTATATTTTCTTTTAAAAGTATACATCTACAGATTTTATGAAATTAGAAAAAAAAAAGATGTGCATCTTGTTGCAAATGTTGTGATAAAGTGAGAATTAAAATAAGCTATCCAAAAAAATTTAAACCCAACTCTAATAAAAAAAAACAAAGCTACATTTTTTAAAGCCGAAAGTCCACTGATTTAACTTAAAGCTGAAATCCGTCTCAAAGAGATTGTTCAGAGGATCTAATTTTCACAGTTCGTTTGATCAACTATAAATTCTAATTTCTCATTAAAATCATGTCTATATAAAAAAAATAAAAAAATCACAATTTTAAATTATTCATTTGAGAGAACAAAAAATGTTTGTTTTTTAACAAAAATAATTTCAGTTCACATTGTATTTGACAACATTAAAAGATGAAAATAAAGCACAACTATAACGAGTAAATGTATTCAAATATTTTTTCTAGAGCTTTCCCTTCAGTAACTTGATTAGTGTTCAAATAAGGGTAATTGGTTATAAGTTCACTGATTGTTATTATTATGATTATATAACTAAGTAAGTTTTTGGAAAATCCTTGCCACCACTTCTAGTTTCAACAGAATATAAGTGCTCTATTTTATTAAGACACTAAAACATGACTTTTCTTTGCCTTGCAAATGTAACTGTCACAATGCAGGCAGCTATGGATCGAGATGAATGATTTTAAAATAATTTTACAGGATCTAAAGTAACCAATAAAACATTAACCAAAATAAAAATAATAATAATTATAAAAATGATTAATAAACCAAAATAAACTATTGCAAGCCAGTCTAACCCCTTTCACACATGTATGTAGAAGTTTAAACAAAAATAACAATTATAAATGTACATTGGAAAAACAATAATACTCTATATACATGGAGGGCCTACAATTAGACTTGACTTGTCAAACTCCACTCCTGGGTTGTAAATTGAGCCAAGTGGGAGTTTATTTCTTTAAAAAAACTCTACAGGTCCAAACTATTAATGATAACATGTTTGTCATTTGTAATAAAATTTATTATAAAATGGGATGTTGTCAACCAACAAAAAGGCATCATTTAAACACTTCAGAGCAACCATTTCCATTTTCACATGCAGGCATCCTAACATTATGATCGGTGAAAACTTATGAAATGCTTATCAGGTCATACACAAGAAATGAAGGAGGAACCACAAGTAATCTAAAGGCAACATTAAGAAAGAACATATGCTGAAAAGCCTTATTTCCTTTTCTTTTAGCTATAATTGTAATACATGATTAATGTCATTGAATCAGGGAGAAAAGATTCCGATTATTAGAAAATTCCGGGGGTGGGGGGTAGTAAAAGATCTTATTTTCAATCCCCAGAATTACATATCCCTCAGTTAACATGTTGTTGATTGATTTTAATATTAGGTACATTCAACATAGTTATGTAATAGACTGATAGGACATGCAGTAAATTTGGACTAAGCTATAAGTTGTAAGATGGAAAGTAAATCAATTAAATAAAAAGTTATGAGTGGTGTCAAATATTGCCAAATATCAAAAAACAATTTTCTCCCTGCGCATAGTTTGGGAGCAATTTAACCAGCAACGGGACAGTCCTTTAAAATGAGAGGTCACCTTGCTTAAAGTTGAAATCAGTTAAATTTAACTCACAGTAATAATTATAAAATTTAATTTAAAAATTATCCTTTTCCATTAGCCTATTTAAAATTCAGTTGCAATATGCCAAGGTGGAAGTACCATAGTATACAAATTAACAACATATTAAAGAAGTTTCAAAAACTTTTAAAAAAAAAAGTAAAGCTCCCTTTAAAAAAAATGCTCATGAACATAAATGGATAATAAACTTTGATTAATGGAAACGGAAATAATTATGTCTGAAGAGTAATTAGATATCGCGTGTATACCCTTAGCACTTATAATATTATTTAAGGTTGAAGATTCTTCCTATGGCTTAGAGACTTTAGTCTATAAATTAGTCATACTCATGTTAACCTTCACAAATGTTAGACTTGTGAAAATCGTATTGTTAAAAGTATTTGTTCAATGGATAATTAGCTTTAATCAAATAAAGGTAGATCACTACCACAATTTTTTGGGGGAAATTAAATGAATGCAAATTACAAATATTTACACAATGTAGCCAACAAATTACAATGATGGCTTGCTTTACATGATGAAAGAAGAAGCTATAATAACCAAATGAACACATTTTCTATCAGCATTTAACGTACATAAAAGATTTTCCTGTGAGCTCTATACTCTTCTTTTTCTACTAAAATATTAGTAAATTTAAATTAAAATAAAGTATTAAGTTTTCTTTTAACCACGTTTTTATATTTACACTAGATAACTTGTGAACTCCGCCAAGGCCGGTCCCAATCCCGGGTGCAAAAGGAGGAGCATTGGCGTGAGGTCAGCTACCTCACCCGTAAAAAAAAATTTGCTACGAGACAAAACCAACAAATTTAATCCCTGAGAAGAGAGGACTCTGCTTGTCCAAGAAGAGCTATGAAGCTTTGTGGCCAAACCCAGGCTGCACTGGCAGCCTTGTGGCCAAACCCAGGCTATACTGGAAGCCCCTTTTCCTATTTTAGTCAAAATTTGTGTGTGCCTTAAATCACTTGAAAACATAACTGAAAATTAATCACCCATCATTTAACTAAATTACCCAGCAATTATAACTCCGCCGTAGCCGGTCCCAAGACCGGGTGAGAAAGGAGGAGGGTTGGGCGAAGGGCTAGCAACCCTTCCCTGTAAAAAAAAGCCCTGCTACAAAAACACGAACAAAGATTTCAAAAGGGAACTCGGGCCTTGGAAAGGATGGATCTCCTAACAGAGAATTAATGAAGTTGGGTGGCCAAAGCCAACTGGAAACCAACCGGCGGACAACCATCCTCTCCACTAGGACCACCACCAGTCTAGGAACATGGAACGTAAGGACCATGTTCAAAACTGGAAAAAACTGTCCAAGTTGCTGCTGAAATGCAGAGATACAAACTAGCCATCTTAGGAATAAGTGAGTCTCGTTGGATAGGCTCAGGTCAGATAAAGCTCAACACAGGGGAACTGCTGCTATATTCAGGCCACGAAGATGAAAATGCGGCGCACAACCAAGGAGTGGCACTCATGCTTTCTAGAACTGCCCAGAACGCACTTATAGGGTGGGAAGCGCATGGTCCCCGTATAATCACGGCAAGATTTAAGACCAAAAAGCGAAAAATCAATATGAACATCCTACAGGTGTACGCTCCTTCCAACGATAGTAAAGAAGAGGACAAAGAGGATTTCTACAACAGATTGCGAACCCTGGTCCAAATGTGTCCTAAGAGCAATATGGTTATACTCATGGGCGACCTAAATGCGAAAATAGGCAGCAACAATAAAGGCTATGAAGAATGATTTTTGTGTGAAGACTCTTATGTAAAACAGATGGTTTTAATTAAATGTGTATTTTCCTCTCCGGCGTCATGAAAATCTAAAATTGCTCATGTCTAAAGTGATGGCATCATATCTAATATGTCCTTTAGAGTTTAATATCATTTTTTAACAAACTAGATTTTGTTAGTGTTAATGAAGCATTCATAAATCATTATTTAAAAAATAAATTGAGTTGTTAATATGCCACAAGCGGAAATTTGCTTTAGCTTTAGTTTGTGGACGCATTCGTCTGTGGTGGCTTTTGCTGAGGGTCTTTCTTCTAGTAGATGCCGATAAATGATCCATCTTCATTGAAAGCTGTTTCATCTTCATCATCATCCCCTCCTAGGCGTTTATCATCTCCGATAGGTCCATTATCATACTCAAGGTCAGGATAAACATAATCTGCATAAGCCCTGTTTAAGGTGGGGGGAAAAAAAGATATTAAAAATAAAATCTGTGGTTTTAAGTACTGGCATCGCGTCAAGTGGGATTCAGTTAAGCTGGTGTCCAAAAAAGGTAACTTCTAAAAGTAGATGATAAATACCACAAGCTGTAAATGGGTGAAAGGAAGTAGGTGTGGCGGAAGTAGGTGTGTCGAGAGTAAGTGTGTCGAGTGTAAGTGTGTTGAGAGTAAGTGTGTCGAGAGTAAGTGTGTCGAGAGTAAGTGTGTCGAGAGTAAGTGTGTCGAGAGTAAGTGTGTCTAGAGTAAGTGNAAAAAATTTTAAAAATCACTTTTTTAACCCCCCCCCCTCCCCCTATTGCACACATATTTTTTTTGATGACACCCCCCCCCCTTTTTTTTTCTACTATATGGGTTACTGCTGCTCGTTGTGAAATATCACACAACTTTCTTAATTAAATTTAATTTCCACTTTTAATCCAATGTAACATCTATCGGTCATGGTGACGTGGTGCAAAGAGTAACTCACTTGAGGAACTATTGTTTGCAGTGTCTAGATGGCGCTTAGTCTTACTTACCAAAATACTCGGTACATTTATTTATTTTACCCAACCCTTTCATTTTATTTATGTATGCGCTATTTTAAAGTGTTCTTGTAAGAATTTAACACAGGGAGCCTGGTGAAAACCTAAATTTGGCGTAGGTGCCAGGAAATGAAAATTTTTGAAATCACTGGTGTAGCCCAAAACAATATATGTCACAAGCACGTTGGACATACGGTCGACGAAATAGTACCGTAAAACTGCTACTACTGAGTACTATTTAAGCAATGTCTAGCGAGTTCATTTGTGAAAACACAAGGCAGCATTATGACGATAATTCCAACTAAACACTGCATGACATTTTTACAGCATTTGAGATTTAAATAGTCTTATGCTATTTTTGGACATTCAGGATGAATATTGTAGAATTTTTGAATAACGTACGTACTTTCTGCTGAAACACCCCCACATACACCTCTACGCAAAAATAGGACAATCTTTAATATCGACAACCCCCTCCCCACTCAGTGGGTGGCGTAGATATTATAAGGATGACCCCAGATTTACTAACATTGTCACTAAGGCAACTACGCTAATAGTACGGTTGTCGTGTCTAGTGAGTTCATTATAAAAACACAATGCAACAATATGACCATCACCACTGCAGGTCTGCAGTACTGAGGAAATATTGTTTTGCAGCAAATTTTAAGAGGGTTTTTATGAATATCAGTCAAATAATTATGAGGATCTGAGTCGCCTAACAATTTTACAGCTCCACACTTTCAAACTGAAATCTAGATTGGATTCATTAATTGATCTTTAATGGGAATTTTTTTTATGTTTTGAAAAATAACATAGACGAACTTCAAAAAAAAAAAAAAAAAAAAAAAAAAAAAAAACAAAAAAAAAAAAAAAAAAAAAAAAAAAAAATGGAAAATATGATTCAGCTAGACTTACGGTCGGGAGTATTCTCTGAAACCGTTATCCTCCAATTCTTTTTCAGGATCAAGACCAGCTCGTTTCTCTTTTTTGTCGACTGGGAAAACATAAATTTTGCTTAAAATATATCCCTAACTTCTTTAAAATGTAATCATTATTGTTACAGGAAAAGGAATAATTCATTTAATTTTTTTTTTTTTTAATTCCCATAAGTAGTGGTGAAAAAATATTCATGTCATGAGTTTTGCTACAATGAAATACATTTTAAATTGAACAATGATTTTCTTTTAAAAGGGAATAAAGAAAAACAACTTACCATTGTAGTCTCCCTCTTGTTGTTTACGGCGGATGACGAATATGATTATTATAATGACTATGATAAGGAAGAGAATTCCAATAATCAGGCCAATTATCCACATGTCTGATCCTGCACTTTCTGCTACTACCACTGAAATATATAATGAGTTAATTAGTAACTTATTAAGAGAATTTTTTAGGTTTAAAAGTATTTCAGCATTAAACAGAATACAGCATATTTTCTTGAGCCAAATCAGGTGCAAATATCCTAGTTGGAAACTTGTACTTACAGAAAGTTATGTATATATTAAAACCATAAAATTATATATATTTTTTTAATCAAATAAAATTAAAGAAAAACAAGTTATCTGTGGGTTAATTGGTGACTTTAAAAATATTAGGGAAAGAGGTATACTTTTCTCACCATTTGTATTACAAATTTAAATAAATGGCCTTCTTAAAATGTGGTTTGGTTTAATATGCGTACATTTCAAATAAAACAAGGCCATGAGTATTTTGCAGGTGGAGGAATAAAAAAGATGACTATCATTGTGTGGTTATGTAAGTTTCAACTAGACGGTAAATGATTCACAAAGAGTTAGAGTAACAAAATATCATGATAAGAAAAGAGAACAATAATCCGAACTATCAACTACCTACCCCCTGGCTCAGGCTTATCCTTTAGTCCAACATGCACATCTACATTAATTGTTTCATATGTGTGTGATATGACTCTTCTGTAGATTCCTCCAACTGTCTCGTACTCCTTTTCTGACAATAGACTGGTGTTGATAATAGTAGCATGAGTGACGGTATCGATAGTCAGGAAACGAGGCTCATCCCAAACTGTTGTACTTTTATTCTGAAAGTGGAGCCACCTGGTGGGGACAAATTCAAAAAAGATATGTGAATTATAAACAAAAACACCAACCATTCAATGCAATTTTACATATTAAGTGTCCTAACGAGAGGTTTCTCTATATAAGAAGCGATGATTCATAAGGTATCCTTGTTTGATGTTTCAAGAAATTTTACAATAGTATACCATTAAACTATGTGTTATATTTCCAAATTAAATGTGCTGACATCAAAATTCATATTTAAATATTTTAATAAAGTAATTCTTACTTGTAAGCCAGTGTCTGTGATTCGTCTGTTGTAGCTTTAATGGTAAGGTCTATGACGTCACCGTGATCAATATTCTGTTCTAGCTCTGGTTGTTGAGTTATTGTTATAGGCACTGTATACAATATAATGAAAAGAAAGAAATGGTATGAAACGTTTGGTGGATAAATATTTTTAAACATCCTAATGTTTATTTTGAATTTCTCTTATGTAATATTTTATTTAGAATGAAATAATCCAAATTTACTGGTTTATTTAATTAAATTTTAATCATTTTAAATGAATTAATTTTAATTTTTTGTTGAAATAATTATTATAGACATTCAAGTTTTTTCCTAAATGAAAGCTCAACCACATACATAGAACATTAAGACATCCATCTCCCCATGTTGTGCCTCTAGCATTGGTAACTGAACATTGGACACACAATATATCTCTGGCCTTGTTGACCCCCTTTACAGTCAGTTTCTTGTTTTCAATGACGTATTTGTTTCGATCTGAAAAAATATGAATTCAATATTATTCATAAATAAAATTTTTCTTACAGAACCATTTCAAAATTTCATCACTTCGGTGAACAAAATTTAATCAGCTTATTAATTAATTCAGCAAGAACCTGCTCCTACTAAAAATGTCAACATTTACCAGTGTGTGCTCCCGTGGCTTCACCATTGATGTACCAGTTTGGTGTGGAAGGGGGTTGTTCGTTAGAGGCAGATCTGGCATCACAGCTAAATACAACATCGTTACCCTCAGAGACTGTCTGATCTCTTGGTCCATTAACAAATATAGGGGCCGCTGGATAGAGTAAGAAATATGCCAAATAAATAAATAAGTTGTAAAATGATCTTTCTTACATCCATGTTCATGAAATCAAATCTATCTGCATTAGCTAAGGAACCATTCACCAACTGCCAAATCAACACTCGACACTGGGCTATGAAATCAAAATAACTGGTTGCTTTAAAGTAATTTTGTAAAATTTGGCATCTCAAATATAAGATAGTTACCAGACCCCAAATAGCCAAAATATGTTGAAGCTATCAAATAAAAAAGAAGGGAGGATTTGAGAGCATGTAGCATGGGTGCATGTTAACATTGACAGAGAAGCTGTAGCATGGGTGCATGTTAACATTCACAGAGAAGCTGTAGCATGGGTGAATGTTAGCATTCACAGAGAAGCTGTAGCATGGGTGCATGTTAACATTCACAGAGAAGCTGTAGCATGGCTGCATGTAAGAATTCACAGAGAAGATGTAGCATGAGTGCATGTTAACATTCACAGAGAAGCTGTAGCATGGGTGCATGTTAACATTCAAATTGAAGCAGTAGCATGGGTGCATGTTAACATTTACAGAGAAGCTGTAGCATGGGTGCATGTTAACATTCACAGAAAAGCTGTGGCATGGGTGCATGTTAACATGCTGTGGAATGGGTGCATGTTAACATTCACAGAGAAACTGTAGCATGGGTGCATGTAAAATTCACAAAGAGGCAGTAGCATGGGTGCATGTTAGCATTCACAGAGAAACTTTAGCATGGGTGCATGTTAACATTTACAGAGAAGCTTAGAATGGGTGCATGCTAGCATTCACAGAAAAGCTGTAGCATGGCTGCATGTAAGAATTCACAGAGAAGCTGTAGCATGAGTGCATGTTAACATTCACAGAGAAGCTGTAGCATGGGTGCATGTTAACATTCAAATTGAAGCAGTAGCATGGGTGCATGCTAACATTCAGAGAGAAGCTGCAGCATGGGTGCATGTTAACATTCAAAGAGAAGCTGTAGCATGGTCGATTGTTAGCATTCACAGAAAAGCTGTAGCATGGCTGCATGTAAGAATTCACAGAGAAGCTGTAGCATGGGTGCATGTAAAAATTCAAAGAGAAGCTGTAGCATTGGTGCATGTTAACATTCACAGAGAAGCTGTGGCATGGGTGCATGTAAAAATTCACAGAGAAGCTGTAGCATTGGTGCATGTTAACATTCACAGAGAAGCTGTAGCATGCGTGCGTGTTAGCATTTAAAGAGCAACTGTGGCCGTAAAAAAATATTTTAAACTGTTACTATCCAAGAGCTTTTAAAATTTATCAACTTATAAAATTTTTCCAGTACTTTCCTATGATATGGCACTCATCTTGGACAGATAACCCCCGTGAGATTTGTGGGTGTACTGCCATATTCATATCGGCATTTATCTTGGACAGAATACCCCGGTGGGAATTGTGGGTGTACTGCAATAGAGATATCATATTGGACAGAATAACCCAGTGTCATTAGTGGGTGTACTGCCATAGGGATATCATCTTGGACAGATCATCCCAGTGACATAAGTGGGTGTACTACCATAGGGATATCATCTTGGACAGAACATCCCTGTTATGCAGGACACTTTTCCCCGTGGGTGTGGTTTAATCTCTTTGATCTATCGCCGGTTTCTTGTATTCTTGAAAGCGTTCGAAAAGTATCGTGAATTGTCGAATATTCTAGCTACTAGTACCATCAGGAATACGCCTAGATTTTTCGGCAGAACTGACTGTAAAAGCAAAGAGAGCAATAACATTGAGAGACTGAGAGAAAGATTCAGATAGATATTATTAACTTTACGATACGAGTATTTTTCTTTGTGTACTCATATTGTGTTTATTTTCATCCATCATTCATCATTATTAATTGGCACATTGTACTAAGTGTGTACCGGTACAAGATTTTCCCATACTCTGTAAGTTGATGTTTTGTAATTATATTTCTTTTGTTTAGTAATTGTATTATTACTAAATTTAATCTTATGAATTGTAATTGGCAACTGTTTTTGCGTGTCGTATCTTTATTATTGCATTTCTCTATGGTATCGTCCTTTGTTGTGCACTTTAAGAACGAGCCATAACTTAAAACAAGAGATTAATTTCTCACAATAGAAGCCATTGATTAAAATTCCCAGTGAGATTTGTGGATGTACTGCCATCGGGATATCGGCATTCATCTTGCAGAAAATACCCCATTGAGATTTATGGGTATACTGCATAGGGATATCAACTTAAAGTAGAAAAATGGGGATACTAATTCTAATGCAGATAGTCATGACCTCTGTAAAGTGCGCTTCTCAGCACAAGCTTCTCTAACAAATAAATATAGAAACACGTCCAAACTCAGTCTGATAAAAATGCTTGCAAGCACCACCTAGGGAGCTGGCGCAAAACTCATGAGAACCTTGTATCTTAGGAGCTTATGAGGTGCCATGGACTACAGCCTCCCGGTGCATGCCGTCGCAAGCTGTACGGCTTTAGAGGGGCTGGACCGGATACAGATTCTAGCTCTAAGATTCGTATGCGGGGCGTTACACACTACATCCATGGCTGCATGGAAATTATCTCAGACTTAGAACCACTCCACATTAGGAGGGACAAAGCTATCCTAACGACCGTAAAGCGTTATCGTCGAAAAGAAAGAATGGAACCCTGTTTCCAATTACAAGATCGATGGGTAAGGTTTAAAAGACTCCTTCATGGATGCTGTCGATACTCGAAAATAAGCACCCTTTACCAGGAAACAGGGAGAAAATACACCTGATCCAGGAGAGATAACAACAGGATAGGTGCGAACCACCTGATGTACGTCTTAACCTGTCAAACACGGCGGTTAACTAGTCGAGTCCCCAAATTGAGCAAAAGGGGGCCACATTAGATACGATTAAGGCTCATAAAGACGACATGGTATCAGTCTTCAAAGATGGCTCCTATATAGCTAGCAATAAGCGGGCAGGCTACGGCGCGCTCATACAGTACTACAGTACCCAAATGGGTACCTCCAACAGAGGAGATTTCAGGCCCAAGAGCGACGAATAGCTCTGCAACAGATGCAGAAGTCGAAGTTACTTTAATGAGTTGGAAACAAATGAGCCGTCAGCTAGCAAGACGCAAAACACTTCAATCCATCGTAGTGTTCACAAATTCACAATGTGCTCTAGAAATTGTGAAACGGTGCTCTTTGGACAAGAAGATGGCACAAGCAATACTGTTGCTCATACGAGACATACGGTCTCACAGAGGAAAAGTGACCCTTCAATGGATCCCAGGACACACGGGGATCTTTCCTTAAAAAGGAGCTGACTATCTTGCGAGGCAAGGCTCTTTCCAGCCTCAACCTAACCGACCAATGACCCAACTGGGGGTCAAGGCCTGGATTAAGGATGATGAATTGATTAAAGAATGGGAACAGGGTACCACTGCCCGAAAAATTTACCGGAGCATGCCAAAAACAAACGAGGGACACCAATGGCGGATACTTAAATGCTACCAGCAAAGTCTCATCACCCAGCTAAGAACAGAGCATTGCCCTACCAGTAGCTCCCTCAATAGGTTGCACCAACAGCGGGAACCCAGCTGCCGTCACCGTGGACAGGCGCCGGAGACAGTAGATCCCCTTCTAGCCGAGTGCTTGACATTAGCCACTGGTATGACTGGGATGATCCCAGCCAACCACGCAGGAAGCCTGATTTACAGGACTGCCCAGCAGATGAGGCAGGCCTGTTGCATACTTGCCGGGGCCATCAAAGAGCAATAGCTTATTCCCTTATAGTGAATGTAATATATTGAGTGGAACAAGATCTAAGAATAAAGTTATCAATCTTTTTCTCAAAACCTACAATTTTAAATTGAGAAGATAAGTATGTCCAGTTAAATAGATTATTTACAAGGATTTAGTTAAAATTTTTCTCAAAGTTGTGCAGGAGTGTTTTATTTTAATGCGTGAAATCTGTATAGAAAATCAAATCTGTTTCGTGGTACCTACAGGTCAGTATTAATGATAATTTTAGTGGGTCCCAAAGAAATACAAGAGTAATAACCAGGACACACGCAAACAAATGTTTGAAAAAAGCTGATTGCTACAGTTTTAAGACTAAATATCTTCCTTTCTTTGCATAATTTTTTTACGGAAATAGTGAAAACAAGCAGACAGGACAGAAGAGAAAACAAGACATAGAAGACTTTCTGAATGATATCATTGCCCGAAAATTGGGTTTTCTAAATCAAAAATTGTGTTCTGTTTTGACCTGTCCGCTGAAGAACGCTCACAGCCGAAACGCTCTCTTTGTATTGTCCTGTCTTTATAGTTCAAGCTTCCACAGACCTTGTTCTACAATTTCCTTCGAAGAGGTTCAATCCATGAAGTCCTTCATTTATTTAAATCAGGGGTCTCAAACTCACGGCCTGCAGGCCACTTGAGTCCCGCTGGACAATATTTTGCGGCCCATTACCCTGACAGCAAAGTTAAGGGTTAATACGGCCCGCGCGTTTTCCCCATTCTCATATCTAGAATGTAATCCTCCGCAACGGGTTTAGTCAAATCTCTCTGACTTATTCTACTTCTGATTCTACTTCTAATTTTATTTTACTTGTAAAGGTTTAAAAGTTGATTATAATGGTATAAACAGTTTTAAAATCAGACAAAAAGATTTTATTTTCTAGCACTTT